CTTTGAAACTCCACCCCACTTGCTAAGGAGCTTTCTGATTCCCTCTTCCCCACAGAAACATGTGCTGTGTTCATTGAATCTAAATGATTAAAATACTGCCATATGATTAGTAAGTGGTAATAACTGAATGCCGGGCTTTCCATGTCATCTGGGTTCATGACATCCTTAATTGCCTCAATAATTGTTTCACGTTATCCCTAGGTGAAAAGAAATACCTAACCATCCCATTTATTAAATTCTTACATCCAAGCACCTTAACAAGCATTTAAGTTTTAAACACTTAGTGCCTACTGGACACTACAAACTGTGGAATCAGATTGGACTGCACCACCTTCATTGAAAGAAATGTAGTGATCAACCTTAAAAATGTTAACTGTCTTGAGCTAGTAGTTTACAAAATATCCAAGAGACTTTACTGTGTTTTTCTTAAGATTTTTAAATATATTGCAGTGTCTTTTTGAGTTTGTATTGGAGCCCTAGGTGACCTCAGTACTCAGGCTGGGAATCATTAGTTTAATGTGTTGTCTCTATTTATAACTTTGCATTTTTAACAGAGATGCTAATTGTTTATTCCAATGAACTATTTGTGCCAATTTCTCACAATTGGTAGACTCAGCTAGGAGACATATCTGGAGACAGAGATTCTTTTGGTGCCTCCGTTCTCATACCACTCACAAGTTGCCTGTGAAGTGATAAAGCCCTAGTTAGAATCTAGCACTTTCTTATGGGTTTATTCAAAGTCCTAAGACTCCAGAGACAAGTCTACTCATCCCAACTGACTTTTTTATATTATTATTGACATTTTTCATACCATACCATCTCACTGTAATTTATCAATGAATCATTTTCTCTAGAAACAGTCTGATCAGGGACATGTCAAATCTCTGGCCCAGTGTAGGAACGCCCTCCTAAGTAGGTAAACCACAAACTATGACCATGGCCACTTGAAAGACAAATATTTACCTTTCTCCAGTTCCCAGCATCCCTCTTCCTCCATTTGCCTACCCACCTACCTGGACATACAGCATATAATGCAGCCAGCATCTTCCCTTGCTTGCATCTGTATTTCGTGGGGCTGTTTGTTTCTTAAACTTGCCCCAGTATATTTCCTCTACCAGCGTCCTTGTATAGGATCTTGCTTGTACAAGTTTGAATGTGTTCAGCTTGACATAACTTGATATACCATTGCCTTAATCCAGTGGCCCTCATCCTTGCATGAGCTTTAGTCTTTACTTCCTAGGTGAGCTTCTCCCTCAAACTGGGATCTGAAATGGCTATTTTGCCTTAGGGCTCATGGCCAAGATCAATAATTTCCACAAGAGGAGAGAGAGAATCACTTCCAAAAGCACTCTTAGAAGAATGAAAAAGAACTTCCTTAAAAGCCCCTAACGAACTTCTTCTCACATCCAAGTCTTTTGTTTATGAACTTTTCTACCCAAAACATACTAAATAAATATAAGTATACTTTAAGAAGGGATAGTTCAGATAGAAAGTGTTTTCCTGTTCACTAATATTACTTTTAAGTTCAGGCTGAGTGCCGGTTAGTCATTAGCCTCCAAACAGATGGGAAAATGAGAGAATAAAATTGTACAGAAAGGAATATGCCCTCTCAAAAGATACCTCTCTCCACCTCTTCTCACCTACCACCAACTTCTTGGAAGTTTCTTTTTTTTCGTGAGTTTTTACATTGCATTTTACATACAAATTATATTTATTTACTTTTAAATCATTAGAATGTTTAAAACATTATAACATTGTTTTCATTATTCAAGGATGTTTGTCAGTTTGGTGTTTTATCTATGGTTTGGAATAGAACTCCTCTCAAATTTTCCTATAAAAGTTAATAGAATTTTTTTCATTTACCAGCTTTTTATTCAGTGGCAGATTTTTCAGAGAAGAGTTAAAGTCGTTAAGCAAGAGATAGGTGTATACTCAAAGCAATTTACTTCTTAGGTGATTTGATAATTGAGACATCACCATATTTTTTTCTACAGTGAAGTTAAACTGAAGGTCCATCTGCTGATGAGTAGCATAACCAGATTTTAGGTTAATTAGCTCCCCTGTGTCCTGTATGTATTTATATCATCAAAAGATCAAAAGGTATGCATTGGAGTGTGTCTGAAACCAGAGCGCCCCTCTACTGAAATCTAGAGTATGCATTTTACAGAGCCCCTTCTCTGTGAAGAAAATAGCAGTGCTTTTACAAATATATTCACATGAAAATTTTTATGCTGAAAGTTATTGGTAAGGAATTATTAAACGCTGTACTTTCTTACCTTCCTAATGATGACATACATAAGTATGTTGAATTTCTTTTAAAAATCTTTATGTTGAAACACCCTAGCACATAAACTCCTTGAATGAAAGCAATATTTGTTTACAGAGAATATGAATCTTAGACCAAAGAGTATAATATGCAAAAAATAATTTTCTGTATTGTAATTTAATTTCTATTCTATTTCAAGGCCCCTTTCAAACCAGCTGGCAGGAAATTTTAACCTCATCTCTGTCCTCAGGACTGTGGCAAGGTTCTAGGAGACTTATGCAGTACCGAGACACTGGATTTGTGTCTTTGAGTCATCTTACCACACATTTCCTCCAACAAACTCATTATCCCAATCCAGAGGCTCTGTACTGATAAGTCACACTGTGGAGCACAAAAATCTTTCTGCAAGGATGTGATGTCCCTGATCCGCTTACCCAAAAAGATATCTTCCACCTGCTGGCTGATGTTTGAAAATGTCTCTGCAGAAGGTTCACCATTTAGAATAAACCCTCATATAATGCAAATATCCTTGAGGAAGAAAACTGTGAAGAGGCAGCCATTTTTGCTGTGGTATGATTTGGTGCTGGAGTTTTTCTTAAGAGCATGTTGACACATGGAAAGACCACAATGCAGGGTTCTCTAAGAGAAAAGGAAACTACACCCAAAATTCTAGGCACTCCATACATCATACTTGTCAGCTCCCTCTTTTTTCATGTACAAGTTACGATCTTTACTAAAAGCCTAATAAACTGGCAGATGGTGATTGTTTCCATTTCCTATTGTCTTGATACACATTTTTTAAGAGAAAGTTCTGAACGTAAGAAATTTTTAAACTCAATTCATATCAGTACTTGGATGTAATAACTCCTAAAGAACACCCAGTCATTTAAATAAGAAATAAGTTCAGTAGAACATTGTTTAGAGATTTTTTCAATGTCTTATCCTCCTATGAAAAAGCTGAATTCCCAAAATACACACACATACACACATGTGCTCACTCTCTCTCTCTTTCTCTTTATCTCACCATAAACAAAAAAACTTAGAAGTAACCATGTGTAGATAAATGTGAACACTTTCACTGTTATAAAGGAACTGAAGCAAAGAAGGTAAATAAGTTATGCATTTCAGTTGGTTTCACTAATAGATTTTTGACTGAAAATGGAAAGCAAGTTGTCTAGGGTTGCAATTGGAATAGAATTGGAATTCTAGTTGCAATTGGAATAGAATAAAATCCATTTCAGACAGGTTGTGGAAAAAGTAGAAAAATATGCAAATATAGTTTGTCTGTTTTAATCTAATATTTGCATGTATCTACCTTTTATACTCTTACCAGCGCTACCCATTTTTAATATGCTCTAAAAAGACTAACTGGATTACATGATTCCCTCTGTAGGTTAGCTACATTCAAAGCAGGACTTGGCAGGGGCATTTCGGGCAGAAGGTGGGCAACCTTAGAATCAATGGCAAGGGAAGCCATGGCAGAGCTTTAAGTATTTCTTTTTATTTCAACTTTTTTTTTTTTTTTTTTTTTTACCCCACTTTGGCAGCCCAAAGATTTTTTGTGCTTTCTATGTCACTTGCCCATGGGCTGTAAATTAAAGTTAAGACAATAATTATTTTATATATTTCCCTTATACATTCTCACTTGGACCTTGTCTCAAGTTTCTCTGTTTTATCTAAGATTGGGAAAAATTGTTGGAGATCGTGAAGCTATGTTAGAAAGTAACCTTTAAATTAGCTGCTCTATGATTTGGGTTCTATTGTTATGTTGGGCAAGGCGAGCCCTTGGCTGAACTAAAATTATAGGCAATGTTCCCTAGTGAGGGAGACGTGGGTTGAGAATCAGCTTCAGACTCTCCTGGGGTGGGGCATCATACGTCATAGCCTTCTTATTACATGAGGGTGTGTTTACCTCAGTGTGCTAGGGCTACAGTTAAAAAAGATTATTACTTCACTAGTCAATTAAAATTCCAATACTCCAGGAACCTAAAGGCAATGATAAAGATCAGCAAAATTTATTTTCAACAAGACAGGTAGGTAAAAACAGGACTCTCTCTACATAAATGTTGATGAGCAAAAGAGGGTGCTACAACTTGAGAATCTGTCAAAGAAAGGCATGTTCAGATGAAACGCTAGAATGGAGGACTGTGTAAATACCAGTACACAGATTACCAAAGCCAGGGATGAAGAAGCAGAAGAGATGATGTTGAGGGGTGAGCTTGACTGAGTGGCATGTGGTATCAGAAGATAGAAGTGCTCTTAATTGGAACATTTGTTCTTTCTGAGCCTGCCTAGTGCATTGATGGTCTTCATCAGAACTTCTCCTATTAGCTGACCTTGGATCCCTGAGCCAGCCCTGGTCTTCCCCAGCCGGCCAACTTGCCAGGACAAATACATATCAACTTCTCTCCCAGTTTCCTTCCCAATGTGTAACAACAGCTAAGTACTTGCCACTTTAACCTGAGCATACCACTATAATAAAATCAATGCTAAGTTGAAACTCACACTAAGAGAGGCAGCATTTGAATGTTGGGAAAAAGTTTAGGTATAATTTTTCCCCTCGATGCAACTGCTACTCAAAACTTTCCTAGCTATAACATTTTTCCAGTCACCTAGGAAGGAAAATTTATAGTTCTTATTCTGCTATTTCATCTTCCATATCAGTTATTAATTCTCAAGTCTTTATGAATCTGACTTCCCAGTATTCCTTAGTTTTGTTATCACTCTGGTTTAATTAACTAATTCATTTCTTAGACACATGCCTAGCCTCATGGAAGAGCACCGTCTTTGGAATTAGGTAAATTGGGGTTAAATCTTGTTTTTTCCACTTGCCAGATGTGTGATGTCGGGTAAGCTTGTTTACTAATCCAAAGTTAAATTTTCTCATCTACAAAATGAAGCAAATATTTCTTTATAGTGTTATTTAAGTAAATAATGTATAAAAACTATTTGGCATATTTAGTCAGTGCTCAACATATGTTAAATATCTTCTAGATTTGACCTTAAAATACTACATTAATTTTATTATTTTCCTGCTCAAATATATTTTTTTATTCCCAAATACCTTGAAATAGTATCCAGATTTCTTCCCCTGGTATCCTAGGTCCTATGCAGATGGTTCTCCGCCTTGTCATTCAATTAGGGGAAACTCTGTTGATTCTCCTACACCAGCCTCCAGCTGCAGCCAAAGTGGAGTCCTTGCTAGCTCCTGTGCACAACAGCCACAACTTGTGTAAGACCAACCATATCTTTTTAATCTCCCAAAAAAGAAAACTTTATTTTTCCCCCATTGCCCATCTCAAGCACAACTTACGACTAACTCTTTCTAGACTGAAAAGGCCTCCAGTCGCTTCAGACTTAAGAACAGTCTTTCACTGATAATTGAATGTCCACTCCAGTGTCATAATCCTATAACAATATTCACTTTGCTTTGAAAAATTCTCCCCACCTACCTCCAGTTCAACCTGAGCTAAAAATAAAAGCCAAATGGTACAGAAGGGGGAAATCCGGTCATTGTGTCTGAACTTTGAGAAAGACTGAATGGCTAGTTTCCAATTACTTCTCTACATCTGAGAGTACTGGTATGTTCAACTGCAGCCCTGGGAAGAGATGTAAGATGTACTTCATATACTGTCATTAGAAATTCAAATGCGCTGGTTTTGGGAGGTGAAAGAGAATCTACATTGAAGACTAATGCAGTCGATAAAGATCTGCAGTTCAAGGAAGTGTTCACTGCTTCCCAGAGGCAGCAGCATTAAATCTCCATTGGAAGTTGAGTATGAGGAACTCCAAAGTTGTTAAATGGCATAAAATTGTGGCCTAAGAACTCACAGTACTCACAGTAGCACAAGAAAGAATTGTGGGAGTTGTAGACTCCTATAAACTTAGAAATGGGAGATACTTCATAAATCACTGTTTAAAATGCTAGGTCACTCTGTTTACAGTAGAAGAAACAAGTCTACCACCTCCAAATTTAATTTGTGATCTATCTGTAGTATTTCAGCATCACTGATTCAGAAATTTTCAATTCTTCCCCAGACACAAATGATACCTCTCTATACTGACAGACTCTGAATATCTTGTCTGAAGGTGATCCATGAACTTTTGATGTAAACAAGCTTGCCAAAGGCCTAAACAATGTACCAGACATTGCCCAAAAATATTGCTCCTCAACTACTGCAAAAAAAAATACCATTATTCCGCCTAGATTTCCATGATACCAAATACTGAGGATAACCCATGCTTTGCCTCTTTCTCAGCAGCTGGGTCAATTCCACATAATCAACCACTGTATCTCAGGACTTGTGACCTCATTTTGGACGGTTAGTCTCCAATATCCCCCAGAATAGCTCTGAGGGATCAGATTCTTATTATTTTAGTGAAAAAAGGTAATTATCATTTATTGCATTCATTAACAAAAATGTGATCTAAATCAGAAAAGAGAAACTGTCATGTGACATGTCACATTTTCATTCATTTCTCCCTCAAAAGAGGTGCATTAGCTTGGACCTCATTTCTTTCAAGGAATAAATATTCTGCCTCCTAAGTTGAGTTGATTATCTCTTTCAGGCTTTCACATAGCCCCCTACGCAAAACTCTGATTTAGAAAATAATATTTTGGATTATAAATATCTGTATATATCTGCATCACTGAGATTCTTTCTACCTTTCCTCACATCCACCAAAACTGTAATCCTTTAGCAGCTGTTTCAGTTATTTATTGCTGTGTAATAAACAACTCCAATATTTAGCTACTTAAAATAACAACATTATATTGTCCCACAATTTTGTGTGTCAATAATTTGGACAGCACTCATCTGGGCAATTTTCTTGCTCCATGTACTGTGTCAGCTTAGATCTTGCAGGTATCAGCTGGTGGATGGGTTGGCCAGAAGAATCCAAGCCAGCCTCATTCATTTGTTTAGTGTATGGGAGGGAATGGCTGGAAGGTTTGGCTCAGCTGGTATTATCCACTGGAATGCCTACAAATGGCCAATCTGCACGGTGGTCTCAGGGTAGTAGAATTTCTTCAAGGTTGTTCCAGGGCTCCCACAGTGATTATTCAAACAAGCACAGAGATAAATTGCATGGCTTCTAAAGACCCAGCTTTGGAAGCCTCAGAACACCAGTTTATTCATGTTATATTGTTCAAACAATTCACTAAGGCCAACCCAAATCGAAGAAAAAGGAAATCAGACTCATCTCTTAACGAGGAAAACCAAAGAATTTATTATCGTATTTAGTCTACTTTAGAAACTTTCCTTCATTTATTCAACACAAACTTATTGATCCTGTTTTAATGCATGCCACACAATGTACTAAGGACTGGGGATAGAGAAGTGAACAACTTAAAAAAAAAAAAAAAAGCCTGCTTTCCTATTACTCATCTTTACATACTCTGTACTCCAGCACCAAGTGCAATGCATGGAATATATAAATGTTGATATAGTTTAGATATTTGTCTCCTCCAAATCTCATGTTAAAATTTGATTCTTTGGAGGTGGGGCCTGGTGGAAGGTGTTTGGATCACGGGGATGAACCCTTCAAAAATGGCTTGGTGCTATCCTTTCAGTAATGAGTGAGTTCTTGCTCTATTTTGTTCCCAAGAGAACTGGTTGTTTTAAAGAATATGGCACCCCTTTCCTCTCTCTCTCTCTCTCTCTTTCTCTTTTTCCTACTCTCTTGCCATGTGATGCTGGCTCTCCTTCCCTTTCTGCAAGGAATGGAAGCTCCCTGAAGCCCTTACCAGAAACGAATGGTGGCACCATGCTTCTTGTATAACCCTGCAGATTATATAACCGCAAGCCAAACAAATCTCTTTTCTTTACAAATTGCTCAGTCTCAGAAATACCTTTAGAGCATCACAAATGGACTAAGACGGATGCCCAATAAATTTTTAAGGAACTTAACAGGTAGGGTTGGAGAGTCACAGGAATGGACAGCTCTTCCCTTTAGGAGTGTTGAGACCAAAGCAATGGAGAGGGAAAGAGGAGCACTCCTTTCCACTTTGACTCCTTCTGGGCAGCTGACATCATCAAATGAGGATGTCTGACATTGCCAAGTCAACCAGACCTAAGCTTCGAGTTTTCCAGTGTCAATTGTTCACTCATTTTAGTGGAATGTATACCCAGTGAAACGACGTTATGCTTTAGATTGAAGAAAGAATACTTGGTTTCCAATTCTACTTTAATTCTTCCAAGACTTAGGTGTCTTTGTTTTACAATTAAATTCAGAATGTTTTTGGAACGTCTCTCTTTAGTACAAATATCTACTTGAGTATTAAATTATAATGATAGCATTCTTATATATATCTGAGAATACCTCTGAGGTGTGTACATCTAGATTATTGTGGGTATTTGGGATGTTTTCTTTCTGTGAGACTTGCCCAAATAACTTGAGAAAATTCCATGCAGTATGCGGAATAGCCTATCAGTTCAGTTTCCTTCCATATGTTTCTGATGACATTATGTATTTCAGTGTCGATGCACTCCCCAAAAGAAAATCAATTGCTGAACAACAAGGACTCAAGATGCAATTTTAATGATACATTTCACAAAGCATGATGCAATGTCTAATATAATGTAAAGGTGGTAAACTTATGACTTTTCATAAAAAGCACATCATCTTTATAAAACATTATTTTAAGCAGAACCCTTTCAAATGAATTTACAGAAAGCAATCTTTTTTTTATTACAGTTGGGTTTTATCATGTATACATAGGCAGTTTTTAACTATCACCACAAAAGGCAATCCTCAGTATAAGGGGAAATCCAGCTCACCTCTTTATGAAATTTAAGAAAACCTTGCAAATAATAATGCATTTTGACAAGGTTCAATATATATATACTTATATATATCAACTTAAATTATATATATGTGTGTGTGTACATATATATGTATATATGTACGTGTATCTATGTGTGTATATATATTTTATATATATGTGTGTGTGTATAGAGAGAGAGTAGTTGCCAATATGTGTTGTCTAGTATGATGGACTCTTTGGTATGTTTTCTTAGCTTCCTTTTTCCTCACAAAAATATATGAATCTAGCAAAACAAGACCTTCTAAGAACAACTTTTGGACATTTGAACAATATGCCACTGAGTAATGATGTACCTTTCCAAGAGGAAATAATATTCTATTTTTTAAAAATTCTCCTCAGAAAATACAAAGAGAAAAATCTAACGCTGAAAGCAAGCTTGCAAAAATGCATGTTCAAAGAGCTTTGATTTATAAAAGAGTAAGAACAAGATTGCTCCAGAGCCATTGATACTTGTACTTAATGAAACTGCATATATATTTTTCTATTTAACAACTGCATTTCACTTCTTTTTATTATCTTTATAGAAATATTTTTACAGATGGTTAAGAGAAATTCAAAGAAGAAAAAAGTGATCATTTTCAGAAGTTAATCATAACTAGAACCAAATGTAATGAAACAAAATAATATTAATATAAAATTACAATTTCCATTTAAAAAATTTTTGCCTTTACAAAATAACTTCTGTTTTCTTATCTCGGAAAATAATAAAAATAACATGAAGGTCTATTTAGTTCACTTCAGTTTTATTTCATAAGTGTCCTGCAATCTGGAAGTCTCACGTAAATTTTGTGAGTTATTAGCTTAATTATCCCTGGACATTTGATGTGAATATTATAGATGATAATAGGATGGAAATGAATTTGGACTTTTATCTAAGAAAAATTAAAATGTTTGTTCATATTTACAGAAATACAAAGATTAAGATCTTGTCATCTATAGACACTTTCTGAAAGAATCTGTAAAGGATGTTCATCAGCAGAATGTACAATGAACACAAAGGACTCAAATGACAGAAACAAGTTATAACTGCCAAAACTGATAAAAATGTGTTGGTAAATTTAATCAAATATTAACTATAAGGAGTAAATATAATCATATTAAAAATGTGTTCTTATGACAGATGTGGAAAAAAGTCTAAACAATGAGAGGTTGAATATTGTTCAGTTGGCAGTTAAAACATGAAACATTTCTTATACTATCCAGAGAAAAGATGAAGATATTGATTGAGTCTGGATCTTGTTAGAAAATTTTGTGGCTAATTGTGTATGTTTAAGAATTTGAACAAACACTAAAAGATATAATATGACTTCCAAAGTAGCAGAAAAATGAAAAAGAAAAAGGTTCATCAATTCAACTTGTATGTAAAAAAGGAAAAAATATTTTTTAAAGTTTAATTAATAATAGAAATAACTGCAAATGTGCACCAGTAATATCAATGTACTTGAATGTATTAAACTCACTAATTAAAAATGATAAAGATGATCAGCTTCATTTTTCTAAATCCTGTTAAAAATTTTTATAATAGAACATTACTGGATAATACCGAATATTTGAAATAGGACAATACTGAATATTTTAAATAGGATAGGATAAGTTATAAAACACAAATACTGTATCAACCAAAAGAAGACATGTAATAATGAGAATTTTAGAGAAAACAAATTAAGAATAAAAGCAATAACGATAAGAGGTTACGATATCTAGAGATAAAGACTACAATCTATCAAAAATTATACAATTATCATAAGTTAGTGTGTACCTAACAAATTGATTTGAAATACAGTTTCATAATGTTAAAAAGAAAGAGACAAATATGCAATAATATACCTCTACCAGGAACTGATAGATAAAGCAAAGAAAAAAATTGTAAGATTATAGAAAACACAGTTAATGGATTTCATTTAGTAAGTGTATATCCACATTGCAGCCTGCAAGCAAAAAATACATTGTTCTTTTAAACATATATGATCAGGCCCAGTGTGGTGACTCACGCCTCTAATCCCAGCACTTTGGGAAGCTGGGAGGGAGGATTGCTTGAGGCCGAGTTCAAGACCAACATCACCAACATTGCAAGACTCAGCCTCTATTAAAAAGAAAAAAAAACACACACACACACACACACATATGAACAATTACAAAACACAAACATGAAGAAAGTCTTAATAAAATTCAAAGAACAAATACCATACAGGTCACATTTTCTTTTCTTTATTCTTTCTTTTCTTTTTATTTACTTATTTTTTAATAATTTCAACTTTTATTTTAGATTCAGGGCGTACATGTACAGGTTTGTTACCTGGGTATATTGTTTGATGCTGAGGTTTGGGATACAACTGATCCCATCAACCAGGTACTGGGCATTGTACCCAATAGTTTCAATGTTTTTCACTTCCCGTGTAAGTCCCCAGTGTCTATTGTTGTCATCTTAACGTCCATGAGTACCCATTGTTTAGTTCCCACTTACAAGTGAGAACATGTGGTTTTTGGTTTTCTGTTCTTGCATTAATTTACTTAGGATACTGGCCTCAAGCTGCATCCATGTTGCTACAAAGAACATGATTTCACTCTTTTTATAGCTGCATAATATTCCATGGAGTATATGTACCACATTTTCTTTATCCAGTCTGCCTTGATGGGCAGTAAAGTTGATTTCATGTCTTTGCTATCAAATGACATTTTCTTAATTTCCATTTCAAGACAATTGAAATAGTTAGAATTTTCAGATAAAATATAGGACATCTATTAAATATGAATTCCAGATAAATAAATAAATTTGGAGTAAAAGCATGTTCCCTACAATATTTGATACATGCTTAAATTTAAAAATTATTTGTTGTTTATCTGAAATTCAAATTTCATTGGGCATCCTGTATTTTTATTTTCTAAATCTGGCAATCCTAGAAATATAAATCATCAATAAAAATACAGAAAACCAAAGCAAAACAAAACCTAGACTATGCTTGTCTAAAAAATGTACTCTGCACATTAGATCAAAAGCAAATTAAGAACAAAAGCATCTGAATGAAAAGAGAATGGCAAGGAGAAGAAGGAAAGACCCACCCTTCCAGATATTCAAACCATTCTAAGGCTTTGTTTGTTTGTTTGTTTTTTTAAATTATACTTTAAGTTCTAGGGTACATGTGCATAACGTGCAGGTTTGTTACATATGTATACTTGTGCCATGTTGGTGTGCTGCACCCATCAAATCGTCAGCACCCATCAACTCGTCATTTACATCAGGTATAACTCCCAATGCAATCCCTCCCCCCACTCCCCATAATAGGCCCCGGTGTGTGATGTTCCCCTTCCCAAGTCCAAGTGATCTCATTGTTCAGTTCCCACCTATGAGTGAGAACATGCGGTGTTTGGTTTTCTGTTCTTGCGATAGTTTGCTAAGAATGATGGTTTCCAGCTGCATCCATGTTCCCACAAAGGACACAAACTCATCCTTTTTTATGGCTGCATAGTATTCCATGGTGTATATGTGCCACATTTTCTTAATCCAGTCTGTCACTGATGGACATTTGGGTTGATTCCAAGTCTTTGCTATTGTGAATAGTACCGCAATGAACATGTGTGTGCATGTGTCTTTATAGCAACATGATTTATAATCCTTTGGGTACGTACCCAGTAATGGGATGGCTGGGTCATATGGTACTTCTAGTTCTAGATCCTTGAGGAATCGCCATACTGTTTTCCATAATGGTTGAACTAGTTTACAATCCCACCAACAGTGTAAAAGTGTTCCTATTTCTCCACATCCTCTCCAGCACCTGTTGTTTCCTGACTTTTTACTGATTGCCATTCTAACTGGTGTGAGATGGTATCACATTGTGGTTTTGATTGGCATTTCTCTGATGGCCAGTGATGATGAGCATTTTTTCATGTGTCTGTTGGCTGTATACATGTCTTCTTTTGAGAAATGTCTGTTCATATCCCTTGCCCACTTTTTGATGGGGTTGTCTGTTTTTTTCTTGTAAATTTGGTTGAGTTCTTTGTAGGTTCTGTATATAAGCCCTTTGTCAGATGAGTAGATTGCAAAAATTTTCTCCCATTCTGTAGGTTGCCTGTTCACTCTGATGGTAGTTTCTTTTGCTGTGCAGAAGCTCTTTAGTTTAATTAGATCCCATTTGTCAATTTTGGCTTTTGTTGCCGTTGCTTTTGGTGTTTTAGACATGAAGTCCTTGCCCATGCCTATGTCCTGAATGGTATTCCCTAGGTTTTCTTCTAGGGTTTTTATGGTATTAGGTCTAACATTTAAGTCTCTAATCCATCTTCAATTAATTTTCGTATAAGGAGTAAGGAAAGGATCCCGTTTCAGCTTTCTACTTATGGCTAGCCAATTTTCCCAGCACCATTTATTAAATAGGGAATCCTTTCCCCATTTCTTGTTTTTGTCAGGTTTGTCAAAGATCAGATGGCTGTAGATGTGTGGTATTATTTCTGAGGGCTCTGTTCTGTTCCATTGGTCTATATCTCTGTTTTGGTACCAGTACCATGTTGTTTTGGTTACTGTAGCCTTGTCCCTGTTTGCAGATGACATGATTGTATATTTAGAAAACCCCATCATCTCAACCCAAAATCTCCTTAAGCTGATAAGCAACTTCAGCAAAGTCTCAGGATACAAAATTAATGTGCAAAAATCACAAGCATTCTTATACACCAGTAACAGACAAACAGAGCAAAATCATGAATGAACTTCCATTCACAATTGCTTCAAAGAGAATAAAATACCTAGGAATCCAACTTGTAAGGGATGTAAAGGACCTCTTCAAGGAAAACTACAAACCACTGCTCAGTGAAATAAAAGAGGACACAAACAAATGGAAGAATATACCATGCTCATGGATAGGAAGAATCAATATCATGAAAATGGCCATACTGCCCAAGGTAATTTATAGATTCAATGCCATTCCCATCAAGTTTCCAATGAGTTTCTTCACAGAATTGAAAAAAACTGCTTAAAAGTTCACATGGAGCCAAAAAAGAGCCCGCATTGCCAAGACAATCCTAAATCAAAAAGAACAAAGCTGGAGGCATCACGCTACCTGACTTCAAACTATACTTCAAGGCTTTGGTTTTTAAATATGGCAGTATTGCTGCAGAAATAGATGCAGAGGGCAGTGAAGCAGAATTGACAGACGTGTATCCTTACATGAAAATTGGGCATTTGACAGAGGTGATATTTACAAGCCCAAGGCTGACAAATGAATTGTTAATAAAACTCATTGTAACAGTTTATTTTCTAAATAGGAAATGAAGTTATATTACCTCTCAACATGAAATTTCTTTTCATAAATATTGAAAACAAATTTAAAACTTAAAGCTCTAGAAGAATATATAGAATATCTATTTGAGGTCAAGTTAGGAAAGGATTGTCTTATAGAGAGCACAAAAGAGTACATGAAGAACTATTGATAGCAATGTCTCTATATCTTCGAAAAAATGTCTATGGAAAACAAAAAGACTAACTACAAACTGAGCAAAGGTACTTTCATTACATATGATCAACAAGGGATAATTAGTAGCAAGTGTATGTAAAGAACTCATACAAATAAACAAGAGAAAAGCAAATAACTCAATAGAAAAATGGGCATATGATATCAAGAAATAATTTATAGGAAAGGGACAATTTGAACTTCCAGTAACTGAAAAGATGTTCAACCACACTAATAATTGGATAGATGAATGATCACCTACAAGATAGGCAAAATAAAAAAAAAAATAAAAATATGTAAATGACAAGTATTGTCTGATTTCAAAAGTAACTCTAACCCTTATTAGTTATATGACTATGGCAAGTTATTTAATCTGTCTATGTCAGTTACTCATCAGTAAAATTAGAACATTAAAGCACCTTTGTCACAGAATTGTAATGAGAATTAAATGAGTTTGTGTTTTCAAAATTCTGAGAGTGGAACCTGCCCATTTTTAAGCATTATATAACTTTTTGCCAGATGAAAGAAAAATTGGCAAGGATGTGGGAAAGTGGGAACTCTCCATTCCTGTGAGTAGAGGTGTATTTTGGAACCCCTACATTGGAAAGCATCTTGATAATGTCTAGTTGAGGTTGAAATGTGTGTAATTCTAACTTTAACAAGCAGACTACAATCCTAAAACAGCTATGATTTTCCTTGAAAACAGTGTTGAGTCAATAAAGCAAGTTGCAGAATTACACATATTGTCTAGTATCAATTATATTGTTTAAAACAAAATAGTGCAATATAGTATTATGAGCGCACAAATACACAGCAAAATGTAAAGCACAGTCAAGAAGGACACAAGCCGACTTCATGACGGTGATTACTTGATGAGGAAAGCAGTTTGGATTGGGGATAAGTTGAACAAAATCTAAAGATAATATGGCAAAAGATGACATTTGCTAGTTCTGGGTACAAAGGGTTTTGTTACATTTCTTTTTTCTGGTGTTCTCTATTTTGAAATACGTGTCACTGAAGATACATGAATTTTTCAACAGGGATTTAAGGAAACTGATGCATCAAAATCTGTATTTTGTATATTAACAATAAATACTATTACATTTTATAAAACAAATAACTATAGAGCATGTAGAATTTTAAGCATTTTGAACATAAAAATGAATAAAATAGTCCTAATTGACAGTTTCTTGATTATTGAAATATTTACAACCAGATAATGATAATATTACTATTAGAAATAGTAATAATATGTATTCTAACTAGTTATCCTTTTGAAGCAATTCCACCAAGGTGGGTGAGGAAAACAGCAAGTATCACAGGTGGAATGTCTAAGTTTCAGATTATATTATTAATACAGAGATAAGTTTAAACAGTCTTTAAAATATGGAGTTCTTTGTAGGTTCTTTAAATTATTCATCTTAATGGCCAATTGACTGAGTAGAAACTCTGATTGCAGTCACTGATACACACTTGAAACATACCTATTTTGTCCAGTAACTGGAAGAAGATCTGCGTGCTGTAGATCTCAGGTATGTCAATGGTAAATAGACTTTTTTTTTTGTTTTAAAAGCTTCGTTATATTTTTGCTTTCATGTTGTGGATGGTCAGTAGGAAGGGAATAAACCTCTGAAGAGATGAGTAA